GCTGTGAGCGTGATGCCATGGCACTCTACCCAGGGGGATAGCTTGAGGCTCTGAAAAAAAAAAAAAAAAAAAAAAAGAAGACACTAGAAAATATTAAAAAATCATAAAGAAAAAAATTACCCAAAATCCCAACAGAAAGAGATACCCACTGTTAACGTCTGGGTATATATATTTGCAGCCATTTATTCCACAAATGTAAAAAGCTTTGCATGACGTCCCAGATGTCATCATATTATTTTGTACATATATATAAATGTGTGCATATATATATATATGTATTGCATATTTACTGATTATAATGTCAAATTATACATGATTTAATATATAATTAATTATATATAAATTAATTTTTTCATTTAATTTGTGGACTTTTTGTTCAAGTAGGTATATATAAATCTAATTATTTTTACTATGTGTTATTTCTATTGTAAAGATATACTGTAACTTATTTAATTAATCTCCTACTAAAGGAAATGATTTCTATTAAATGATGCCACATCTTGAGCTATTAGCTAATGGTTTTTTCGGAATAAATTGTTTTAAGTGGGTTGAGGGAATGAACATTTTTAATTTTTCAGTTTTTAAAAATGGATGCCTTCCCCACATTGGCCAGAGAGGGCAGGTACTGAGTGGGGCTGGCTGGCCAAGTAAGCTTCAAGGGTTTCCTCCAGGGTCTGGGGAGTGAGAGCACAGGAGAGGATGGAATTTGAACTCTGCTAGAGAAAAATTGTTAACTTTACCTGGATTTGTCAATGCCTAAACACTGCTGGCTCTGCATTACCCAGGCTTAACTGCTGAAAATGATCAAGGACAGGTGCATTCCTGTCCAACTGGCTGGCTAGATTCTTGTCAATGGCCTCTAAATTAGCACTGAAGGCCTAGGTCTGCCAGCCAACTTGCTACAATTTTCTTTTTCACTTTTAGACTGACCTTCAGTCAGGAAGTTCAGCCAGGTGAATAACCACCAAAATCTAGCCAGCCTGGCCTACAGAGCTCTTACCAAAATGAGTCACTCACCATATCTTCAGGATCTGGAATTTTCACCCCGCTGAAGTACTGATTTGTGCTAAATACTTGCTGGTGCCTAGGGATGAGATCTCCTTTGGACAAGAAGAAAGAGTAAGTGAGATCGATTAGCAAACACTGATCTATGGTTTCCCTCCATCGGTCTGTGCCGGACGCACGAAGGCAGCAGTTTTCTGCTGTCATCAGAGGGAGAGGCATCCCGGCAATCAATAGCAGCCTGGCTGATCCTGCAGTGGACAACATGCTGTGCCAGGCACAGAGGAGGCAAGCGGCAGAAACCAAGGCCGTGGGTTTCGTGCCTGCGGGATTTACATTGCATTTGAGAAGTCCAAGCCCAGCAACTGATGAGCACACACACACACAAACAAAATATACCTTTTTAAAAAAAGAGCAAAAGAACAACTACAAATCAAAACCATTTTAACTGAATCCGATGGGTCACAGGGAAGTGTATTGGTCTAGCATTTACAACAGAGCCTGGCACAGAAGAGGCACCCAATAAACATTTATGGAAGGGAGATCATGAAAGATTTTTTTTTTTTTGAGACAGAGTCTCACTTTGTCGCCCTCAGTAGAGTGCTGTAGTGTCACAGGTCACAGCAAACGCAAACTCTTGGGCTTAAGCGATTCTCTTGTCTCAGCCTCCCAAGTAGGTGGACTACAGGTGCTGGCCACAACGCCCAGCATTTTGGTAGTTGTTGTCATTCTTGCTTAGCAGGCCCTGGCCGGATTGGAACCCACCAGCCCCGGTGCATGTGCTAGCGCCCTAACCAGTGAGCTACGGGCACCAAGCCAGATCATGGAAGATTTTCTAGCTAGAGGAATATGTTTCCAGCTGGAAACCATCTTTTCTTATTTCACCAGTTAGTGATCACTTGAAAATTTCATTTCATCCACTGTTTAGAAATATTTATTACGTAAAGCAGTGAAACTTATGAGGTCAAGGAGCATTTCTGCCTCCCAGAAGATGATATAAAGCTCATCCTGCCCATGTTTCAGCCACATCACCTAAAATCACCCTCATGTAACACTCTATGGATATAATACTTGAAAAGGAATTTTGTTCAGAGATATAAGGAGATACTCAGAAGGGTTCCCTTGGGGTACACCAAGGCGCACTTCCCAGAGCAGAGTGGAAAACAAAGCCTCTCAACTAGGAGTCCAGATATGTTGCCATTGGACTGGGACAGAATTCCTACCCTGGGGTGTCATATTATCTGTATTTACTAGTTTGTTTTAGAAGTTTCCTTCTCATTCAAATCCAAAAACTGCCGTGTCACTCCTTTTTGGACAAGTAACCAAAATATACCCTTGAATGCCTTGTGCAGAGATCAGTGGGCTGCGTCATGAACATGATTCCCTGTACCGTAGGAGTCCCAGTGGGGCTAGAGGGGTGACACAGGAAGGTATAACACAGTGGAGGAAGGTTGAGTGCCCCTGGGAGGGCCACAGGTCACCTTCCATGTGACTCGGCCCAGTTGAGCTATCAGCACATATGTACTGCCTACGGTGTACAGATGCTGGTGGAAGATAAGAAGACATATAAGATGTGATCTCACCTTCAGGGAGCTTACAGCATCTTTAGGAAGGCAAGAGTACAAGGCAAGCCATGGTGATAGCCGGTGCTTTAAGAGTTTAGAAGAGGAAAAGTTTGGTTTTAATTGGCGTACCTGGGGCGGGGGGGTTTGAGTCTAAACCCCTGACTTGGGAAGAAGGCTGTCACTGCCTGCAGATCCTCTCCTCTGTCTCTCCCCTCCCGTCCTGCCCCTTCCCTCCAAGGGTACAGAGAAAGGAACAGGCCTTTGGGTGGCGTGAGAAAAGCCAGCCTTTCCTCCTGACACTTAGAAGGGTGAGAATCTTCCTTTAGAGAGTATGAATAATCCAAACTCGTCAGGCAGGCTGGAGTGAAGGGCATCCAAATGAATTACCACGTCATAAGTGGGATGAGCCACAAAAGCGTTTTTTCTGTAAACTGCTTAGCATTTTACAGAGGTTAAAGGTGGATCAGTATGGTTTTTAAAGTTCCCCCAGAGCCAAAGTTGGAAATCACTCTTCTTAAATAGTGCCCCTGTGGAAACGTGAGCTTTTATTGTTGCTGTGATCATCGTTCAGTTAAACTTGATCCAAGCTCTGCTCAAGAGAAAATCTTGTATCTTTTTGGACAATTTAATAAGTTCTCAATAACTGTTAATTATTTGTATTGAGACAAACATGGACACCTTTAATTGAGTCATTTAAATGAGGCTTTGAGAGTTTTCCTCAAATTCTAACTAAAGGGCGTTAGATGAGAAACTTGTCCCCAGAATTTTACCTGCTCTGGACCAACATGTGTGAAACTATACAGTTTCCCAAGAGGTGAGACAAAAGCACCACTTACCCAGGGTTTTCCTAATCAGGTACAGCTGGTCCACATCTGACTTTCCTGGCCACAGAGGCGCTCCTGATAGCAGCTCAGCAAAGACACAGCCAATTGCCCAAACATCTACTGGGGGGCCGTACTGTGTGTCACCCACCAGCAGTTCCGGGGAGCGGTACCACCTGGTAGCCACATAGTCTGTGTAGCAGTCACTTGGTCCAGCTGGCCGGGGATGGACATGGAAAACAGAGAGAGCCCTGGAAGCCTGGAATCAAAGCTGGCAGGGGAGACCTCAGAAATCAAGCTCGTGCTAGATCTTGTGCTTTTCTAAATCATTGGTTCTCAATGCTGGTTGCACATTAAAATCACTGAGAATATAATATTTTCAAAGTTACTAATGCTTGGGCCACACTCCAGTTCACTTAAACCAAAATCCCTAGGGAGGGTTGGTGTGTGTGTAGGGGGGTGGGAGGGAACCAGTATGGTTTTTAAAGTTCCCCAAAGCCAAAGTTGGAAACTACTCTTCTTAAATAGTGCTTCTGACAAGTATCATTTTAGCAAGAAGTGATAGAAACCAGGACAGTAATATACCTTTACTGTAGTATAATTTGCCTATAGCATACAGATTTAAGCCAGTATAGGTGCCTACACATTTTCAGTAATCACGAAATTATAATTCATAGTTAAATGTATTCCCTGAATATATACAAACTAGCTTGTATGTTTCTATGGCATTTAAATCCTTTATTCTATCAAGAACTTTTCTATCTTTTATATTTAACTGAAGAAAATGTTAATACTCACTCAAAAGCCGGGCAAATCCAAAGTCGCAAAGCTTAATCACTGAATGTTTTGTGATGAGAATATTTTCTGGCTTTACATCTCTATGTATACACTAGTTACAAAAATCAAAACAAAACAGATTATTAAGGATAAATGGGATATATATATATATTTAAAAACACATAAAGTTTTAACAAATATCAGAGAAATCATTCATATCTCTCATTGGCCTGTTGAATTCATAGCAAAAGACCAGCCTACAATAAATCTAGTGCCCTCTCTATCATATCCCAAATCATCCCAAATTCCTGAAGGGACTGAAAGGGTCAAAATGGTGAGAGGAAAAACAAATGCAAAGTCACCCAGTTAAATTTGGATTTTAGAGAAACAATAATTTTTTAGCATAAGTATGTCCCGTGTAGTATTTGAGGCATACTTTTACTAAAAAGTTATGCTATTTATCTGAAATTCAAATTTAACTGAGAGCCCTGCTTTTTTTTTTTTTTTTTTTTTGAGATAGATTCTCATGCTGTTGCCCTTGCTAGAATGTAGTCATCACAGCCCACTGCAACCTCCACCTCCAGGGCTCAAGTGATCCTCCTGCCTCAGCCTCCCAAGTCTCTAGGACCACGCCCCACTACTTTTTCTGTTTTTAGTAGAGAGGGACTCTTGGTCTTGCTCAGGCTGGTCTCCAGCTCCTGAGCTCAAGGGATCCCGCTTCAGCCTCCCAGAGTGTTAGGATTACAGGCATGAGCCACCATGCCCAGCCCCTATAAGAATTTAATTGGTGTGATTCAAAAAAGCTGAGTCCTACACTTAATCTAACAACTCTAGGTGACAGGGGAAATGTCAAAAGGCCCTGGGTGAGGTCTGCATCACAGTTGCAGGATCTGCAAGCTGTTGCATAAGCAGAATTCACAAGTCAGTTGTTCAACTGAGAACAGAACACAGTCTGCGTAAATAGGACTAGCCCTGGGCCTGCGGAGATAAGCTGGGGAAGAGGAGGGCGGTGACCACAAGCCTGCCAAGAGATCTCCCTTCCAGCTCTGACATCTGTTCTGACAAGATAAACAAGATTAGGCAGCAGCCCTCACCCTCTGGGGACAGTCGCTAGATGTCAGCTCTGTCCCATGCACATCAAATGTTCTTAGTGCCCAGACTTGAATCACCTGCGGTTTCCAGACCACAGCCAACATTCTTTAACAGGGTGATTTTAGAAAAACATTTGAGAATCTTCACATAATTTTCTTATTAAATGACAATGTCCTTGGCAAAGAACAAATAAACAACCTAATTAACACATAAGAAAACCTGTAGTCCCAGCTACTCAGGAGGCTGAGGCTAGAGGATCTCTTGAGCCCAGGAGTCTGAGGTTGCTATGAGCTCGCCACAGCACTCTACCCAGGGTGACTGAGAGAGACTTTGTCCTCAGGAAAAAACAAACAAACAAAAAAAAAAACAGAAAACCAGTTGGGCAGTGGAGTCAAAATCTAGCTCCTAAAAGTTCCTAAATACATCTTCCCTTCCCCCAAGTCTTCCTGCTCAGGAGGGGAACGTTTGTTTCTTCCGCGTCCTACAAGACCCTCCTCAGGCTGTTGCCCAAAGGCCCTGGGGTTATTCTTGACTTTCTAGAATCTGGAAAGAAGACAGAGCTGCTTCTTCAGCCTGACCAGTTCTCACTCCAAAGGACCTTCTGAGTGAGAGCTCAGTGTCAGAGTCTCCCCACAGGTATTTATTATTCCAGAAAATTGGGGGGCAGGCAATTTTTGAATTAGTTTATTACAGTCTATTTTGTTCTCAGCAGTTAATAGTTGTGATATCTCTATTCTTTTACCACTGTCTTCACACATCGCTATAAATGGGTTCACTCATGACTAGCATGACGACATATGGTTAGAAGTGTTTGTAAGCAAGAACACACTCCCATTCATTCTGGGAATTCTCCACATTTTCTGCGCCCTCCCCCGACAGCACATGGAGTGGTGCCTGGGGGCCCTCCCGGGACCTGTGGCATGCAGCACATTTGTCTTTAGTCTCTCATCTTCCCCACTGGGGCCTTCAAGCCTCTCTCCTGCACCATCGTCCTAGAGCTGCTCTAAGGAAAGCGCTCACCCTCACTCCCAGTGACCAGCAGGACGGACGGGTGCCCACTCTCCCTGGTGTGCCTTTGGCAGATGGGCAGCCTTCAGCTAAGTGGAGGCTCGGCATGGAGAAGTGCTGGCTTCTCTTACATTTTCTCCTTCTGGGAATGCAGCTTCAGGAAAGATCATTTGGAACAGCGCAAGGAGGGAGAGTTAAATCAACCCAGAATATTCCAGCGGTGGACTCTGGCTCCTGCGTGTGGGGGGAGTAGGCGAGTGGGCAGTATTGCACTGGAGGGAGCTGGAGGCTTCCCGGCACCTGTGGAGTCCCATCACCTGGGCAGCAGGCCACTGTGCCTCCCACCAGCTCTGCAGTGGCCCAGAGTGTCAGAGGTTTCCAAGGGCTGCTTGGGGCCCGGCTCAGCCCTCTGTCTCACCAAAGCACACACTAGCCTTTGTGCCCTGGGCTTGAGACTCCACCTGCTCCAACTGGCATAATCACCTGGCATCCCCCTCTAATTTCAGAGCCTTTTGAGGGCACCAGACCAATACAGACCCCTGTATTAAGGAGATTCTGCCTTTTGAGGGCACCAGACCAATACAGACCCCTGTATTAAGGAGATTCTGCCTTAAACCTGAGCAGTCTCTAACCACTGCAAATATGACTGGTTTCTTCAAATCATGGCAATGTGTGTTCTATATGACCTGAGCAAAAAGGACATAGTTAAGTTGGCATTTTTAGCCTCTATGAATCCCCAACCAGACTCATGAAGATTTGGGTAAGAAATTATGATCAAAAAAGTATGATAGAGACTTTGTACAAGGCTCTCCCTCAGCTTCAGGGCAGCCTTCTGATTTTTTCAAGGAAGATCACAAGACTTACGTTGTGTTTGTGGCAAAAGTTTACAGCTTGCAGCGTCTGCCAAGTTATGCTCTTCACGAGATGTTCTGGTACCCTAATAAAAATAAAGCAGCAGCACAAACACATTCTTTAGTGAAGCCATGGAATTCAGCCCAAGAAAGGAAAGAGTAAACCAAGACAGGTTTCAGCGGTGAAAAGTCGGGGATCTAACCCATCAGGTAGTCATTCCCGAGTCCAGAGGAGGGACGTGTGGCCAGCACACCACTGACCGCAGGGAACAGCAGGTTAACAAAAAATGCAGATGGCTACAGGAAGGGGTGTGAACATCCACAGGATTCCCACAAGTGCTTGTGACCTAGCTCAGACATCAGTGACCTCCCTGGGAAAGTGCCTGGTAACTTGAGCTCCATTTCTGCAAAGAAGTTTTTGTTGAAGTTAAGTTAGTCAGTAATACTCAGCACAAAAACTACTATTTGTTTTGTCAAGTTGCTCCAAGCTGATGTTGGGCAGCAGGCCTCCTCTTCTGTGTGGGACACGGTTTCTCCAGACCCCTGGGCAGTGCTGCTTTTTTTGGTTTTTGCATTATTAACATTTTACTGATGACAGGGAAGAGGTTTACACTGCAAAGTGTGTAACAAAGGCTAACGGTCCTCAAAACCAGAGGCCTCCTGGCTCTCTCCCCACCGCTCCCCCCTGGCAGCACCACTCCCAGCCTTCTGCTCCCACCCCCCCCATGACAGCAACCAAGCTGTGTCCTTGTCCCCAGAACCTCTTCCCTAACGCGAAGCTTCTTATGTAACCACATAACCAAGGCAAACAGTAGCCTCAGCAGGTCCTTTGTGCAAATTAGAAAAATGGACCTTGTCTTGAAGCATTTTCTTTAATTTTTGTATTTATTTTTGAGACAGAGTCTCACTATGTCACCCTCAGTAGAATGCTGTGGCATCACAGCTTACAGCAACCTCAAACTCATGGGCTTAAGTGATTCTCTTGCCTCATCCTCCCAAATGCCTGGGATTATAGGCACCTGCCGTAACGCCCGGCTATTTTTTTTTGGTTGTAGTTGTCATTGTTGCTTGGCATGTCTGGGCTGGATTTGAATCCACCAGCTCCAGTGCATGTAACCGGCACCCTACCTGCTGAGCTACAGGCGCCAAGCCCAGAAGCATTTTTTTAAAAATATGGGACAATGTGTAACTGGACCATGATCAGTGGGTTTGTCCCTGAGCACCCCTCTCCCCCACCAGCTGGACTCACGGTTTTTATGAATCACACAACATTTTTGTGGTCATCAGACGAAACTAATAAGAAAACTCTTGAGTGGTTGAGTAGTTGTGTTCAGCGACCACATAAACTGACTTCAAGTCTCTGAGAGAGGCTACCAGGCCTCTGTTGTCACAGACCAGATTTCAGGAAATCGGAAATCCTTTCAAGCAGATCGGAGGATGTTTGGATAGAGATTCAGATAACATGGAGGAAATGAAGAGGCCACTTCCAGAAAGAAAAGCCGGGTCACTGCTGCACGGGACTACATCCGTGGGCTTAAAATAGCTTCTTTCCAAATTCTGTCCCTTGTTCTAGTGGTGAGTGAGGGTAGATGCTGGAAAAACCCACCTGCTAAGAAAGAAGGTCTAAGAAAAGGCAGCCAGGATGGGCACACTCGGGGAAAACGTTTCTATAGCCTCCACTCTTTGTCCAGAAAAAGCGGAACACATTGTGATTATTTGATGAATTAAGTATTAATATAAAGTTATCTGCGCCAGGCAACTTTAGTCTCTAAAAATAATTCCCAAAAGAAATTATACAAAAATGGGCGGCACCTGTGGCTCAGTGGGTAGGGTGCCAGCCTCATATGCCAAGGGTGGTACATTCGAACCCACCCCTGGCCAAACTGCAACAACAACAACAACAACAAAAATAGCCTGGCATTGCCGGGGGTGCCTATGGTCCCAGCTACTCAGGAGGCCAAGGTAAGAGAATTACCTAAGCCCAGGAGTTGGAGGTTGCTGCGAGCTGTGACGCCACGGCACTCTACCGAGGGTGACAAAGGGGCCCTCTAACAAATGCAGGGGCCTCAGACTCAAAGATCTGTTCACTGCAACACTCTGAGATGATAATAGGAGCCAGGTTTCCATGTTGGAAAGGGATTACAAATAGAAAGGGAGAAAAAGTGAATATAGTCTGTGACGTTGGGTTGAAACTGGGTGTATGCATGTGTGTTCGTGAGTGTGCAGGAAGGGGCACTGCGTTATCCAAGCTGGCCCATGAAGCGTCTCTGAAATGCTGGTCCACGCGGTGAGAAGTGGCCGGATTTGGGCTAAATCTTAAAAAGAGCCTCCGGGATGTTTTGAGGGATCAAATGTGAGAGAACAAAGGAATCAAGGAATGATGTCAAGGTTTTTAGCTTGAGTAACTGGTACCCAGTGGTGTCTCTTACTGAGGAGAGGTCTGGAGGAGGGTCGGTTTGGGGAGGGAGGGTGGATGGTCTGTGATGCTCCCTGGACTCTGCGTAGGCATTTCTGAATTCAGAAGGAAAGGGAGTGAGGTACACTATCTGGGGGACACAGACACCAAAAGCCCTGACTGCATCACTGTACAATTCATCCCCATCTCAAAAAGCCACTGTTCCCCCTAAATTTTATTGAAATAAAAATGAAGAAAGGTCAGGCTGGAAATATAAATAAGCACAGTAGTGGTATTTAGAGCCTAGGACTGGAGGAAGCCCACTCAGGAGTGAATATCCATCAAAGAGGAGCATTCAGAGGTGAGTTCGGAGGCCCTTCAGCATTCAGGGGCGCAAAGAGAAGAGCGAGCCAGGATCCTGGGCTGGGCAGCCAGGGGGTAAAGGCAGCACTTGGGGGACCACAGCGTCTCAGAAGCCAAGGGAAGGAGGAGTTTCAAAGGACTTCTGAACTAAGATGATGGCTTTCTATTTGATTCCCTCCCCAAACCTGACTAGAGATTTTTTAAAAGACAAAACCTCACAAGATCAGAGAGTTCAGGAGAAGAGATAACAGCAACACATTTTATAATCTAGACAGTAGTCGAATGAGTGATAGTTGATTTAACAGATCCTGGAAAGCTGAAATCTAAGCCACAGAGGGAGGGTGGCCATCGACCAACCTACTCCCCAAAGATCGTATAGGACCAGGAACAAAGGAAGAGTGTGGAAAATCTGTGTAGGAAACAGTTAAATCCTTAGATCACCTCCTCCGTTCTGTGCCAACAAGGAACGTTCATCTGTGAACTGGTGGAAGCCTGAAGTTTTGTCTTTTGGAGAAGACACAATGAGAACATCGAGCAGAGCTGACGCTGTGGATGGCTTTCTGAAAACGGGTTGCATGACTATGCCAGCTGCCCAGTGTCTTCCGGGCTTGGCTGTGCACTTTATTGCTCAGTTTCTTCTGTGCACAGTGTCTCAGTACTAACTGAGGAATGTCAGTTTCCCCATCCTCTTCCCTCGCAGGGCTCTGAGCGAGCTGCCAAGCTGACTTCACACTCCGGGTAAAGACTTTTTGAGGCGGAGCTCAGGAGGAACAATCTGAAGATTCTGACACTGGGGCTTCCCCAGCAAATGGTCTAGCCAGATAACCCCGTAGTGAAGTTTATAGCTTCCAATAGTTACCTACTCTTAGCCATGAGCACACAACCAGAAGTTATAGAATGTGCAAGAGAAGCCTCCAATAAGAAAGTAAGATAGCCAGGCATGGTGGTGGGCACCTGTAATCCCAGCTTCTCAGGAGGCTGAGGCAGGAGGATTGCTCGAGCATAAGAGTTTGAGGTTGCTGTGAGCTGTGACTCCATAGCACTCTATCCAGGGCAACAGAGTGAGACCAAAAAGCAGATACTATTAAAAAAATGAGAGGACCAGTCCAAGGGTCCAACACCCAAAACACCCAAATAATAGAAAGTCCAGAAAAAGAAAATAGAGAAAACAAGGGATAGGAAATCAATTTTTAAAAATTCAAAAACCCTTTTCTCAGATACAAAGTACCCACCAGTACCAGCATAATGGTTAAAAATCAAGAGAGAAGAGATAACATAATTCTCATAATCTGAAATGCTGAGAAAAAGAGAAGATTCTATAAGCTTCTGGAAATAAAAAAGAAACATGACTTTAGAAAGGAACATAAAATAGAATGTCATCAGCTTTCTTAGCCTTCAAAATATGGAAGGAATATTACTTTCTTTTTTTTTTT